GGGAGGCAGAGCCGCGGGGAAGCAGGTGGGGGGCACAGCCGCGGGGAAGCGGGGGAGGGGAGGCACAGCCATGGGGAAGCAGGGGGCAGGGAAGCGGGGGGCAGAGCCGTGGGGAAGCAGTGGGGGGGCACAGCTGCGGTGAAGCGGGAGGCAGGGAAGCAGTAGGGGGCAGAGCCGCGGGGAAGCAGGGGGGCACAGCTGTGGGGAAGCAGGGGGCACAGCCGTGTGGAAGCAGGGGGCAGGGAAGCGGGGGGCAGAGCCGTGGGGAAGTGAGGGGGGGCACAGTCGTGGGGAAGCAGGCGGGGAGCAGGGAAGCAGTGGGGGGGCAGAGCCACGGGGAAGCGGGGGGGGGGCAGGGGGGGGGGGAGGGGGGGGGGGAAGGGAGGGGGGGGGGGGCCCGGGGGGAGGGGGGGGGGCAGCCTGCTCTCTCACCTCGGCAGGCGTGCGGGTCGGTGCCCCCGGCCGGGTGCCAGGGCAGGTCCTGGTAGAAGTCCTGGCACCGCTCGCAGTTCAGGCCGGCGGTGTGGTGCTTGCAGACGCAGCGGCCGTGAATCTGGGAGAGGTGGCGACAGGGCCCAGGTCAGCAGTGGCCCTGGCGCACGTGAGACGCTGCCACGGCCCAGGCTGGCCCCAGCCCCTCACGCCGGGGGGCCTAGGGCCCTCAGCTGCCATGAGCAGGCCTCCCGCCAGGCCTGAATGGGTCTGCACTGGGGCAGGAGGAACGGCCGGGGCACAGGGACCCCTGGGGCCGCCCCACACCCCCTGCCACCCGCCTGCTGCCCCAGGCATCACGGGCACAGCAGCCACCCAGGGCTGGGCCTGGCTGCCTTGTGACAGGTCTTGGGGTAGGGCTCTGCCCCCTTGCTGCCCCCTCCCCACCCCACTGCCCTCCCCGTGGGGTGGATCCATGCCCCCTTACCATGCCCTCCACGCCCGCTGGCACGCCGGGGGCAGGCGCGCACTCGGAGGCGTGGCCGTAGCAGAAGCAGCTCCCGCGCAGCACCAGCTCGTAGAGGGCGTAGTAATACTTCTCCTGGATCTCCCGCCGCGAGTCCAGCAGGTTGTCGCCCAGCGTGTGCAGCCGGGTCAGGTTCACCCTCAGGTTGGTGACGCGCAGCAGATCTGGGGGCAGGGGGAGCTTAGCACTGGCCCCACCCCAGCCCCCCAACCTCCCAGCCCCTGCTGCCCCCAGTCTCCCCCAGCCCCTGCACCGCCTAGCCCTGCTGCCTCCCACTCTCCTTGGCCCCCGTGTACAGTGCCCAGGGACCACTCCTGCATCCCCCCGTCTCCAACACTCCTGGGGCCCCTGCGACCCCCTGGCCTGCCTGTACCTCCCCTGCCATGGGCATCTCCCTGCACCACCCGCGGCTCTGAACCCGGTGCCCCACGGCGCCGCCCGCAGCTCTGGACCTGGCGCCCCACGGCACTGCCCGCAGCTCTGGAACCCATGCCCCACAGCACTGCCCGCAGCTCTGGACCCCATGCCCCACGGCACCGCCTGCGGCTCTGGACCCCGTGCCCCAGGGCTGCAAGCTCTAGGGCAGGGATCCCAGCCCGTCCTCCCGGCCGAGCCCCTTGCCTCATGCCCCTACCCTGGATGGCTGGGCTGTACGGATCCTCCACCGGGATGGACGGGTCCAGGACCTTGAAAATCACCTGGGCAAAAGGTGAGGGGCAGTGTGACGTTCTGAGTGTGATATAATATCTCATTGCAAGGTGACAGGGCCAGAAAGAGTTAATTACCTCCCAGACTGACCTGACCCATGGCCGAACTTTAGAGACTGGCTAGGAAGATCTGTAAATGAACAGAGCTTTGAAATGCAGCCGGCATTGTCAGAGGTAGAAGGGGAGATGTTTGCTCAGGGCTTGTGATAGAAGCAAACAAGTCTTGTCTATTGCTATAGCTTTAATTCAAAGACAAAAAAAGGAATATTAACATTTATAATGACACTTGAGGGAAATAGTATTATTGTCTCTATGTCTCTTTGAAGGTTGTGGTAACCTGTATCTGAACTGTTTAATGGGTAAATTACCCTGTGCTAATTGCCAGGATGTTTGGAAGGAGAATTAAGCCTATTGTTTTCTCAGGCCAAAAGGCTGCTGGAAATGTATAAGAACCCTGGGACACGATCCTTCTGCATCTCAGATCTGCTTTGGGTTTCAAGAGGGGGAAACCTTAAACCACAAGGATTGAGATCCCCAGTCACTGACTGGAGCCACCCTGAATATGGACATTGGACTATAAACCTCAATAAATTGAACCCAAGTCTGTCTGTAAATTGATCTTCCAACCAATTCTCTCTCTCTTTTCTTTTTTAATCAGTTTTAGTTTAGTTAATAAGAATTGACTATAGTGTGTATTGTGGGTAAGATCTAAGTTATCATTGGACCTGGGTGTGTGGCTGATCCTTTGGGATTGGAAGAACCTTTTCTTTTATATGATGAGATAAGATTTTCAGTAATCATCATCATATCTGACAGGTGTGTCTGGATGGAGGCCTGAGGCTGGGCACTTTAAGGGAACTGCGTTGTTTGGACGTCTGAGTAACCAGGGAGGTAACACAGAGGCTGTTTGGGGCTGGTTGGTAACTCTAAGTATTGGAATATCCATCAGCGTTTAGGGTTTGTCTGCCCCGTTCTGTTTGCAGTTCACCCTGATTGAGTGACCTCAGCTGGCTCCCACAGGCAGCACCGTCACAGGCAGAGTGAGACCCCAGAGCCCTGCCTGCCCCCAGCCCCCCCCCGCCCCAGGGTGATAGGCGAGGGGCGGCGTGAGACCCCAGAGCCCCCCGCCCAGGCCTGCCCCCAGCACCCCCCATGCCCCAGGGTGATAGGAGAGGGGCGGCGTGAGACTCCAGAGCCCGTCCTGTCCCGTTCCCCAGGGCGACAGGCGAGGGGCGGCGAGAGACCCCAGAGCCCCCCCCCCCCCCCGCCCCCCCGGGCGACAGGCGGGGGGCGGCGTGAGACCCCAGAGCCCCCCCACCCCGAGCCCCCCTCAC